ATAGATCCGTATTCCCATCTGCTGTCACTCTTCCTGTCAGAGACTTCTTATAACATTCGTGTATTGCAGGTTTGCTAAGTGATTAATCCTTCAGCTTTTCTACATCTTTAAAAAGTTTTCAATATCTCTTCATGTCTAAAAGATAATTTTGCTGGGTATATAATTTTCAGTTGACAGTATTTTTGAGTATTTTAAAGACGTTGCTCCTTTGTCTTGTGGCTTACATTGTTCCTGAAAATACGTTGCCATTTTTATCTTTTTTCTTTTATATATAATGTACTCTTTTTCTCTGGATAATTTTAAGATTTTCTCTTTCTCACTGGTTTTAAGCAATTTGGTATTAACTTTATTTTTCTTGTGCTTGGATACATTGAGCTTCTTGAACATACGGGCTTATTTTTTTCATCAAATTTGGAATATTTTCAGCCATATTTCTTCAAATATTTTTTTAGCCCCCCTCCTTTTTGAGATCCCAATTATGTGTATATGTTGGGCCATTGAAGTTGTCCCATAGCTTAGTAATGTTCTGTTCAAAATTTTTCACTATATATTTTCATTTTGAATAGTTTATATTGCTTTGTTTACAAGTTCACTTTTTCTTCTGTAGTGTCTAATCTGTGTTAATCTAATTCAGTGCCCCTTTTTTTCATTTCTTACATTGTACTTTTTATCTCTACAAGTTTGATTTGAATCTTTTTTATATATTCCAAGTCTCATATTCAGTCTTTCCTCTAGCTTTTGGAACGTTTGGAATACAGTTATAATAATAACTGTTTTAATTTCCCTGTCTGTGATAGATCTGTATAATTTCAGGCTTTTGTTTTATATAATTCTATCATTTGTATACTTTCAGCATTTCTATTGCTTTATATTTCTCTTCATTATGAGTAGTATTTTCAGCTTTCTTGCACACCTGGGAATTTTTGATTGACTGCCAGTCATTGTGAATTTTACTTTCTTTGATCCTGGATAATTTTGTATTTTTATAGATATTCTTGAGCTTTTTTTTTGTTTCACAATTAAGTAATTTGGAAACATTTTGATCCTTCAGAGGCTTGCTTTTAGGCCTTGTTAGCTGAGACCTTAGCAGCGTTTAATCTTGGGCTAATTTTTTCCCACGATTGAGACAGTGCCCCTCTGTTAACTCTCCTCGGTGCCCTGTGAATTCTGAGATTTTCCCCTCTAACTGGTGGGAACAGGAACTATTGTTCCTGTCCTGGGCAAGCTTTGGGGATTATTCCCTATAATGCAGGGTTTCTCAACCTTGGAACTACTGGCGTTTTGGGGCTGGATAATTATTTGTTGGGGGAGGGGACTGTCCTGTATGCTGCCCGACGTTTAGGAGTGCCCTGGCCTCTATGCACCAGGTGACAGTAGCATCCCCCAAATTGTGACGAACCAACAGGGAGTGAAATCACCCTCAGTTCCAAACCGCTGCTCTAACCCTTTTTGATAGTGTTTTCATGTGCATGCCTTGGCTGAGTTCTTGGCTGTGGGCTCCGGGGGGACCTCCTACAGATCTTCAGAGCTAGTGTCTGTACAGCTTTCTCCTCTCCCATACTCTTCCCTGAGAACTTTAACCCCTTGACCTCCCTGGACTCACAGCTCTGTTTCTCAATGCAGGGAGACCACTGGATTCTGCCTGAGTTCCTTCTCCCCCTGACACAGCCAGGAAGCTCTCCCTAGGCAGTGAGCTGGGCAATCATAGGGCTCACTATTGGTCACTGTACTTTGTTGTCTGATGTCCGCTGTTTTGAAAACCATTGTTTCATTATCCTTTTTTTTTTTTTCCTGAGTTTTCTCCAGTGGGTCCCTGATAATGTCATTTTGGCCCTCTTCCTCATTCTTGAATGATACTTTTGCTAGATACACAATTCTGGCCTGGCTGTTATTTTTTTCTAAGTACTTTCAAGGTATTTTAAGCTATCTGCTAGTTTCCGTTGTTGCTGCTGATCAATCAGCTCTCAATCAATTTTTTTTTCCTATCTGATGATCTGTCTTTTTCTCTCTGATATTTTTAAGATCTTCTCTTTGCCTTTGGAATTCTGCTATTTCACTATGATGTATGTAAGCACAGGTTTCTTTTTATTTTTCTTGCTCCCTGAATGATATATTGGGCTTCCTGAATCTTCAGACTCTGTCTCTCATAAATCCTCAAAAATTTTCAGCCATTATCTCTTCAGACATTTCATCATCTTGATGTTCTTCATTCTTTCCCTTTGAAATTCTTGTCAGATACAAAAGGCACCAACCATAAAGGAAAAAACATTAATTGGGCTCATTAAAATGAGAGTCCTTTGTTGATCAGAAACATTAATAAGAAACTGAAAGGGCAGTTTACCAAACGGGCAAATATATTTGTAACATTTGTAACCAACAAAGGCTTGGATCTAGTATATGATAAAGAATTCTTATAATTCAATAAGAAAAAGATAGCATAGAAAAATGTGTGAGAATCTTAAACAGGCATCTCACAAAAGGTATATACATGCCCAATAAACATAAGCAAAGGTTTTCAATATCATTAGCTGTAGGAAAAATGAAATTTCAACTGCAAGAAGATAACGCTACACGCTCAGTATGGCCAAATTTAAATTCATAATGTAAAATGCTAGGGACCTTGTGATGCAACTAGAACTCACATAAGCTTTTATTGGAAGTATAATTGGGACAACCACTTTGAAAAACTGCTTGTCTTTATCTGCTAATGTTGAGTATGCTTATAACTCATGACCCAGACGTTCCGTTCTTAAATATACTTAACTCAAATTGTATGTGTGTATATATATACGCATACATTTATATATATGAAATATTTATAGTAGCATTATTTATTTCAGCCAAGACCTGAAAACAACCCAGATGTCCCTCAAAGGCATAATGGATAAAGAAACTGAAATATTCATATGTTGGGATGCTACATAGCAATGAAAAATGAGTGACTGCTGCTACCAGTAACAGCCTGGATGAATCTCACTAACTTAATATCAGGGGAAACAATGAATATGCACTTATCATCCTATTATGCAGTATTTAAATAGAGGCAAAACTACCACCCTTGGGAATGGAGGGCATGGTGATCATCCTAGGAAGGAGCATAAGTGGGAGTTTCTGGGATTCAGTTAATGTTGTATTTCTTGTTTGGGGGAATGTTAACATGGCATATTCATTTTTGAAAACTCATACTATATGCTTATGAATTGTGTCCTTTACTGTATGTATGTTATATATATGTTTATATGTAAAAAAGCTTAATTAAAAAATAGACACCAGGGGCCAGCCCCATAGCCAGGTGGTTAAGTTCATGTGCTCCACTTCGGTGGCCCAGGGTTTCACTGGTTTGGATCCTGGGCACAGACCTAACAACGCTCATCAGGCCATGCTGAGGCAGTGTCACACATAGCAGAGCCAGAAGAACCTACCACTAAGATATACAACTATGTGCTGGGGAGCTTTGGAGAAAAGAAGAACAAAAAGATTGGCAATAGATGTTAGCTCAGGTGCCAACCTTTAAAAAAAAAAAAAGACACCATTTCTTTGCCATCTCAGAGCTTTATTTCAGTAGATAGCAGATATTAAACTTATGCACATGAAAATGTGTATATGGATATAATTTGTGAACATGTATGAAGTCAAAGAAGGAGGTGCTATGAGATCAAGTAACCGAGGGATCTACTTTTATCCTAGAGGTTTTGGCCAGGCCTCTATGAGAAAGAGTTCTTTGAGTTGAGTGAGGAGGAGAATGTTGTAAGATAACGTTGGAGAGGAACGCAACGCTAGGACATACTCAAGAGTTTGATCTTCATTCCCAGATCAGTGCGTACCTTTAGAAGTGTTGTTATTAACAGGCTAGTTATATGATTTGATCTAATTTTTAAAATAATCACTCTGGCTACACTGTGAATCATGGATTTGAAAATGAGCCAAAGGTGAATACAGTTGGACCATTTAGAAGCTATTGCAATGCTCCGGGTAAAAAAAATGATGGCATCACTGATCCAGACCAGGGGTCTGTCAACTTTTTATGGAAAAAGTGTCTGTTGCTTCTACTCAGTTCTCTGTTGTAGCTTGACAACAGCCATAGACAATACATAAATGAATGAGCATGGCTGTGTTCCAGTAAGACTTCATTTACAAAAACAGGTGGCATGGTTTACCAACCTCCGACCTAGACTGGAGAGAAGATAACAAATGTTAGCAAGTGTTTTGGAAGTAGATTTAACAGGACATGGATTGGATTGGGAGCGTAGGTGAGTGGAGAGATTTCGAGGATGATTTCTAGGCTTCTGGCTGGAGTAATTTATGGGTCATGCTGTTGCTGATTAGGGAATAAGTTAGTTAAAAGTCTGCTCACCTAAAATAGTGAGGACCGACATGTCAAGGTTCCAGTGTTTTTCTCATCTTTGGTCTCTAATGACAATATAACAATGTTTCGTGGAGTTTAACCACTGTAACAGTCATGACTATAAATAATTTTATTTTATTCTTTTATACACTTATTGGTCACCTATTACACAGAAAATGAAAAAGTGAGAAAAGAATGAAAGTTAGTCAGTTGTATTGATCAGTTCTTTTTGCGTTTTCTGCTAACAGTAGGAAAGCAAACATAGTTTTTTCAGAGTCCTCATAGCTCATTGACAGTGTCTATAGCCTCATTTTGTCCCTCCTTTCAAAAGTCACATCCTCCCACCACCCCCAACTGCCACCCTTCTAAGGATGAGCCAGAGAGTCTGCAGGTTAGAGCGCATTTCATGCTGATTCTCGTCATCCATTCATGGCCCTGGGTGGAGGTGGCCGCTGAGTGGAGCTGCCTTCTGCCATTCTACATGCTCCCTGCTTGTAAAAGGCTCCTTTTTAAGTAGGAGCCTTGTTACCATGGTTATGTCCAAATTAAAACCGCAATTTGAGTTTTTTAAATAAAAGTGTATATAGTGTTAGGGGCTTTATTTTTTGATTAATTTTTGTTTGTTTGTTTGTTTTACCAACCCTTGACTTCACAGGCTTTGCTCTCTGTGCACGATACTGTGGCTCAGAAGAATTATGATCCTGTATTGCCTCCTATGCCTGATGACATTGACGATGAGGAAGACTCCGTAAAAATCATCCGTCTGGTCAAAAATAGAGAACCACTGGTGAGTTTTGGTCTGCACTTTGTGCTCAGATCTGAGTAGATATCATGATAAAGCCAAATCTGATGGGGACATACCATTTATTCCTCTTTTTAACATATACTTCCTCTGTGTTCTCAAACTTTAAAATAAGTGGAACATTCGTGTTTGAAGACTACGATTTAGAAAAATGAAGCCAAATAAAATGACAGGCATTCTATTGGTTATAAATAGCAGTAATTTTTAAAATGTGTCTTGTTGCCATTTATAAAAGAAAGCGTAACATGCACTAGTCACAGCTTATTTGACATTAAATGGTGCAACTAAAAATAATTGCTTATGGCTTTTCTAGAAAGCTGATTTGAAAGTAATGAGGAGAACTTATGCAATTGGCTGATATGTCAAAATATAAAATATCACCATTTATTTTAGCACCAGTATTTACACAATGTTGAATTATGTCAAGGTGTCTATGGTAGGCAGAATAACGCCCCTCACAACCAATGATATCATGTCCTAATCTTCTTAACCTGTGAATATGTTACCTTACATGGAAATAGGGACTTTTCAGGATTAGTTAAGGATCTTGAGATGGGGAGATTATTCTATATTATCTGGTGGGCCCCGTATAATCATAAGGTTCTTATTAAAGCGAAAGAAGTAGGCAAGAGGGTCAGAGTCACATAGGGAGATGTGATTATGGAAGCCAAGGTTGGAGTGATGTGGCTATAAGCCAAGGAACGCCAGAAGCTTCTAGATAATGGAAAAGTCAAGGACTGGATTCTCTTCTAGATCCTCCACAAGGAATGCAGTCCTGCCGACACACTTAATTTCATTTTGGCCTTCCTGCCTCCAGAACTGTGGGATAATACATTTGTGTTGTTTTGAGCCACAAAATTTGTGGTCCTTTGTTATGACAGCAATAGGAAAAGAATACAAAGTGTATCCATATTTGTATGGAACTACATTCAAAAGAAAAATAGATTTCATAATCTGGCAGTTAATTTTAAATGTGTTGTGCCCTATTTATTCTAATTAAGACATTTTTGTGTTCTTAAAGCAAATAGCACTTGATAATACAGTAGTTGCTGGACACGATGTTACGTACTTAATGTATGTCATATTTAATTCTCATAATTGGTATAATTTTTCTCTTTTTACAGACTAGGAACCTCATATTCATAGAGGTGAAGCATCTTGCCCAAAGTGTCACAGCTAATGAGTGTAGAACCAGCATCCACAGTTGGCTCTTTAGCTTCAAATACCAGTTTTTTCTTCTGCACCATATTCTGTCTTTGTATTTTTCCATTTTTGTTGGTTTTTATCTTCTTGTTTCGTTTAAGGGCAACTTTGGTATATTGATAAATGCATTGGACACTCTTATGCAGAAAAATATACAGATAAGTTTGCATATTACGTCAGGGGGTTTATTGAGCCCCTTGAAGCTCATCCATGGACATCCTAGGACTTCCTGTATTCCTGGTTACGATGGTTTAATTTAGATTATAAATTCATGATTTTCGTCCGTGGTTGTAAGTCTATACTTGTAACCTAAATAGCTCTTAATTTTTATTATGGAGGTCATAGACTTAGTAAGAGTAGGTAGTAGTCATGGTGGATGTAGAAAGAGCTGTCCCAGGGGCCTGTCACCATAAAGTGACTCATTTTTGGTGGATTCTGGGCATCTGTCAGCAAGAAAGACGTTTTTGTTTTGATGAATTCAGCCTCTTAGGGAGATAATTGAAAGACTGTCTTGAGGAGGTCAGTAATTCATCACTAATTTCTTCGATCAGTTACGGTTTCCCCAGGAGCAATAGTGTTTGGTGTGTTGGTTTGGTAAGCTCCCATTGAAACAGTCCTCAGCAGCATTTGACTCCCATGCCTCCTGATCAAATAAGATCTTCAACCCATTTATCAAAGAAATTAGGCAGATTCTGCATCAGGATTTCTTAAAAGTTTTAACTCGACCTACTGTAAATTAGTTTAAATTTAAAAAGAAATTGAATGAAGTATATAAAGTAACCTAAAGTTGTATTTATCATAGTTTGTTACTAAGTATATTATTTAGCTAATAAGCATATAACAACTGAAATAACTAGAGCTAACTTTGAGGTGATAACTCTTCATCTATTTGCCCTCTTTTGTTATAGTTTATATAATATGGTATATTTAAAATGAGCATCTGAACTAGGATAATGACAAGAGCTACATATGTTAGATTTGATAGGACCCGGCAAATCTTTGGATATAAAGGGCAAGAGAAGAGAGGAAGTCAAAAATACCATGGGTGGTTTTATTTAGGTGACTAGAAGTACTCTCCATTCATTCAGCAAGAATGGAAGGAAATGCATGGGATAAAAATGACGAATTTCCTTATGGTTATACTGAACCTGTGGGGCTATGCAGGTGCTAGGCGGAGGTTAAAAATTCAGGAAGGGGAACCAGGTAAATTTCTTTAAAAATTGGTTGAATTGCTAAGTTGTTTAAAAGAGGGATATTTGTCTTAAGCATGAGGATGTTTTCCAGGCTTGTAATATTTGTTTATCCAAGGGCTATCATATGCATATCTCAGAATTGTTCAGTTGCTTATTACTGTATCATGGGGTAATTTGGCAACTTAATAGCATTTTCTTCGCCACTTCCCCCTAAATTTGGAGTGTTTAAAAATTTTAATCCCATTTTATTTTATCCATAATTCCCCCATTCTGTTTATTTGCCCATTTTTACATGAGCTTTTAAATTTTTTCTCTCTGATTCTCAGTTATTTAAAAGTAAATTAGTAAAAGCTTTTTTCCCAAAACATATGCAGGTAACTTTTTTAAACTCTAGGTTTAGTTTCCTATATGTAAGGCAATTTAAAGTAATTTTGAGTACTTTATTTTGAAACATTATTTTAATCAGTAATGCTTTGTCTTCTTCCTAGTGAGCCACAATTTGATCTATGTTTTCTGTTCAGGGAGCTGTATTTTAAAAAATAAATAAAAACTTCATATAGAAAAGAGAGCTTCTACTTGGGATGAAGAAATTCCCAAAATAATTTGTTGGGATTCCTAAAAAAGTATTAAGAGGGGCTGGCTAGTGGCATAGTGGTTGGGTTGTGTGCTCCACTTCAGCAGCCCGGGGTTCGGATCCCAGGCACAGACGTACACACTGTTCATCAAGCCATGCTGTGGTGGCGTCCCAAATACAGAATAGAGGAGGATTGGTACAGATCTTAGCTCAGGGACAATCTTCCTCACAGAAGAAAAAAAAGTATTAAGATTTTAAATGTTGTTTTAACATTGGAATATGAAATCAAGTGAGGAGAATTACTTGTCTTGAACTTTTTGTCATCCAAATGTATAATTAGTGTCTTTAGTTTGACAATTATTGTAAAGTTTTGTTGTTAATGCCATCGAGTGGGTTCTGACTCCTAGTGACCCTGTGTACAGCAGAGCAGGACCCTGCCCTGTCTTTCTGCGCCATCCTCTTACCTTCTGGCGCTCTATCAGACATGCTCTGCTGCTCTGCACAGGGTTTTCATGGCCAGTTCTTTCAGAAGGGGGTGGCCAAGTGCTTCTTCCTAATCTGTGTAGTCTGGAAGCTCCGCTGAAACCTGTCCACCATGGGTGACCCTGCTGGTATTTGAAATACTGGTGGTGGGGCTTTCAGAATCACAGCAACACGCAGCCACCACCGTACGACAACTGATGGACAGGTGGTGTGGTTCCCTGACTGGGACACGAACCTGGGCCAAGGCAGTGAGAAGGCTGGATCTTAACCACTAGACCACCAGGGCTGGCTATTGCAAAGGTAAAGTAGGATTACTGGGTGAACAAATTAAACATTTAAAAAATACACTACCTAGAAAAAGTAGAAAATATTTATTTCCAAGGAAATTATCATTTTACGTTTGTCAAATGTCATTTGTCAGTTTGGGCAAGTTATTGAAGGCACAAAACTGCCAAAGGGAAAAAAAACAGAAGCAAAAACCAAGAGAAGATCAAGAGTCAGAGGCCTCTTGAGTAGAATGAGTCCGGGTACTAAGAATCTAGCAAGTCAGTGGTCAGAAGATGTTTGGCAAATGATTCAAGAGGAAAGGACATAAGATTTAGTAACCAGGCGGTAGGTTTTCAGTGCTAAGAATGTAATTTTGTTTATTAGACCTAGGTATAATGTGAAATGAATACCAAGCTTGCATTAGATGACCTCAGTGGGAGTTGTTATGGTGTCACTCACTTGCTCTATATCCTTAAAGCAGCAAGTCATTTAACATCTCAGCCTCAGGTTCCTTATCAGAAAATCGGGAGATCTGCTTCTTTGAGAGTGTTTTGAATATCAACTGAGATGGAATGTATTTGAAATGCTTTATAAGTTCTTAGGCATTATGCGAGCATTATATAAATGTTCCGTAGAATGATAAGGTGAAGCTGGATGACAGCTGTTTAAGGAGAGAATGGTTTCCTGGGAGAAGAGGCAGTGAACACAGATCATGAAGGTATTTGGCAATGGAAAGGAAAAAGGGGATAGTTGGAGCAGGGGGACGGATAAAAGAATTGAGAGGAGGAGAGAAAACCAGTGGTGAGGATGCGAGGAGCAGAGCTGTCCTTCCTCCCCTCTGAGTTTGGAGCAATTTATATCTGTTTTGTCCAGGAGATTAATTTTTAGATAAGCTTAAGAAAATTAGCAAGTGGATTATGATCCTAAATTTTCAGTGTTTCTCACGTGAGTTGTCGTCTTGCTTCTTTGAGAACTGTGGCTCTCAAAGTTTGGTATTACAAGAATTACCTGAGGTGCTTACTGAAAATGCAGACTTCTGGGTCTCAACCCCAAAGGGTCTCCATCAGTGTTTTGGGTGGGACCTAGGAATCTAGATTTTTAAGAAATGTCTCAGATTCCCTCAATGAAAATGTTTGGTAGACCATACTTTGAAAACACTTGTTGCAAAGGCTAAGCCTGAAATCAACTGTGCTACCTGCTTAAGAAGGTCTTACAATAGTCTTGTAGGAGATACAGTTTTTATTGAAGGAGACATGATACCCCAATCTTAGCAGTCCTTTTTTATAAACCATTTTACAGAAGTAACAAGAAAAATCTAACCAGAATTTTGATTTCTCAGTCTAACCTGAAGTTCTCTATACTCTTTTCTTTGTCAAAGTCACATAGAATAAATTCAAAACAATTATATAGGAAAATATGGAAGTATTAGAACATTAGATTCAATTTTAATTCATTTTGCATTTGCAGACTATGCCATAGGACGGTCAACTTTTGTATAATATCACGTGTAATGTGCTCTATTGAGTTTTGATCTTATTTTCATGCAGGTACATTGCACTAGAAATACACCAAGGAACTGTGATAAATGAGGTTGGGAAAGCAATATGGAAATAGAAATCCTTAAGAATGAAGGAATCAAAAAGAAGATTGATTCTCAGGTCCAAAGTTTACCCTGCAAGGATAGGTAGACTCAGAGATAGCAAGCATATTCTGTTTCAGGGTACTTATCTATAACAGAATAACCCTTAAGTGTTGGAGTGCTATTCTTTATCTACACATTCTGAAAATGATTTCATCCAGCGTATGGCTTTAAAAATCATCTATGTGCCCGTGACTCCCAGGGCTATTTCTCTTCCAGATCTTTCTTCTGATCTTTAAGTTTGTATGTACATCTGTCTACTTGATGTGTCCGTTTGGATGCCTAATAGACGTCTCAGTCTTCACATATCTGAAAGAAAACTAATCTTTGTCCCCAAATCTGTTACACCCATTGGATTCCCCCTCTCAGTTGATGACAATCCCATCTTTCCAGTGCTCAGCCAAAAACCATAGAGTTAATCTTGGATACTTCTCTCTCTTTCACATCCCATTTCCAATCCTTTGGGAAACCCTTTTGGCTCTGCCAGTAACATATCCAGAGCACTTTTTATCTCCTCCTGCCCATCAGATCCAAGCCCTCATCCTCTTTCCCCTAGATTATTATAACAGCCTCCTATTTGTTTCTTTGCTCTAGCCCCTGCACTCTTTTAACACAGTAGATGGAGTGATCCATTTAGATTATGTCATTCCTGCTGTTCAGGTTCTCCCTATTTCTTTCAGAATAAAATCCAGAGTCTTCACAATGGCCTACAAAGCTCTACATGCTCTGCCTCCCTGTTACTATCTGACCTCACCTCCCACTGCTTTTCACCGTTTACTCCAGCCATACTGGCTTCTTTGGTCTTCCTTGATCCCTCCATTCACAGCCCCACCTCAGCACCTTTACGCCAGCTGTTTCTTCTATTCTTTCTCTTTGACTAACTCCTTCATCTCCTTCCAGTCATTCTTTACACATATGTCGTCTTCTCAGTGAGGCCTGTCTGTGTCTTCACGTTGTCTTCCCTCACGTTGTCTACCTGTCCTGGCACTCTTGATCTTTCTTACCCCGGTGTACTGCCTCCCATCCCCATAGTGTTTACTGCCTTCTAACATACTATCTAATATATCTAATTATTTCATCTTTTGTCTGTCTTCCCTCTTAGAATGTAAGCTCCATGAGGGGGCAGAAATGTTTGGGTTTTTTCCACCAATGTATTATAGGCCCTTCGAACAGAACCAGGCCCATAGTAGGTTCTCAATGAACATTTGTCAACTTCATCGAATCACAGAATAAGTCAAAGGGACTAACATTAAACACAATAAACTGGATGGTCCTGTTCTGAAAAACAGTACAATCCATAATGGAGAAAGGGATTTGTTCCAGTTACTTAATTTTGTGTTATAAACTATCCCCAAATGTTGTGGCTAAAACAATAATATATTATTATCTCTCACAGTTTTGGAGGCTGATAGGCTCTGTTGGCTTAGTCCCTCACATGTCCAGTTAGATGGTGGCTGAGGCTGGTGTCATTTGAGGTCTCCTTCATTCCCATGACTAATGCCTGGGCGGGGTGGCTGATGAAGCATCTCTTTTTCCAAGTGGCATCTCCACTTGGCTAGCTTGGGCTTTCTTCTAGTGTGGCAGCAGTCATGATTTCTTACACGGTGGCTAACTTCCCATAGAGCAGGTGTTTCAAGAGGCCCAGGTGGCAGCTACAAGACTTCCCATGGCCTTAAATGCCTGAGAACCATTTTTACCACTTGATATGGGAATCTGGCATGCACATCCAAAGAGGGAAGGAATTGATGATCTCCATCATGGAGACAGGTTACCACAAGGATAATGAACTTAGAAACTTACGGGTAAAAGGTTATGGAAAGATACAGGATAAGCAGTATTAAATGATAATTAAGATTAAGAATAGCAATTCTGATCTGTTTTCCTTAGACAAGTCCTGACTTTACTGCACACTAGTTGTCTGATCTTAGACAAATTATAACCATTTGGGATCCAATTTCTTATCTATAAAATAGATAAGTAATCTTAAATTAGATTACTAGACCCTTCTGCCATTAGGCATACTTTGGTGGGAAAATTTGAGACACATTTTCAAGGAAAATGAAAGTTGATCTAATCACATGAATTAGTTTGTTAAGAATATTCATTTCCACTCATCTTGACTACAAGTTAACTGTTTAAATAAAAGCAAAAAATACCAGTAATTGGTGAATCTAAGGTTTTTATGACTATGGAGATATGCTCATTCAAGTCTTTGGCCTTGAAAGCATGCATAGGTGATGAAAAATTCTACAAAATCATCCTATCAATTATTTAACTTTTTTACTATTATTCGATATGTATCTGATAGCTATCATATATAAAATATACTTATTACAAATGGATTCCTAATTTTGTTTACCTATCTATTTTTTAATGATATAAATGTGTTTATTAACAAACATGAGAAAAATTCCACTTTCTTCTTTGGAGTGGAGTCTGCCACCACCGAATGTGCATCATTCTAGCCATGTGTCGCAATGCAGGGATGGCTTGTCTCTATCAATGCCAATCTTGGAAAGAAAGTCATGAAAAGGCGTTCAAAGTAACCATTTGTGCCTGATGTTCTTACAAAGCAGCATTCATTTAATTTACTTCTGAACATCCATAAATGAAGAATTTCTGAATTCTTTTTGAAATTGTTTCCTAAATTTATGCCAAAATGTTAGTTCTATTTGTACTAGGTACAATCCTAGTACATAAAAACCTTGGAATGACAGATCTTTCTTCCATTAGTTTATCTGTGCCTTGGATAAGAAATATAAGTAATTTTTTGAAGTTCTCATTTTTTTTCTTTCTGATTACCACTGAATTCCTTTACTGGAATAGTGTACTAGAAGGATCACTGAATTAAAGCCAGATGACCTGAGTTCTAGTTTTGTAATTTATATAATCTTTTTCTGTTAAGCTCCTCTATGTAGTCTGCCTTCTTTTGAGGTATTATCAGGATAAAATGAAATGAGGAAATGCTCTAAAAGGGTAAAAACAAATAGTATTCAAATACAAGGTATTATAATGGATAGAAGATATTTGTACTTTCCATAGTTTTGAAGAGGTTAAAGATTTCAAAAACCTTTAAATTGTGCTGCAAACCTTAGATGATATGTATGTTAGAAAATTCTGTACCTAGTATTGAGTATTTATAAGACAAAGGGCATGATGTCTTTTCCTCCTGCCTCATTCCTTTAATTGTTTGTAGTTGTTGTTTTCACTTTTTCCAGATGAATGTCCTTATTTCTGCCTTCCTGTTGCTACCGCTACAGGCATTTACCCACAAATACTTTTCTTTTTCTTAAAAGGGAGCTACCATTAAGAAGGATGAGCAGACAGGGGCCATCGTTGTGGCTAGAATCATGAGAGGAGGAGCTGCCGACAGAAGTGGTATGAGTTTAATTGTTAAGTGGATATAGACAAGTCATGTTGCTTTTTATGTGTCACATTTCCAATATGCAGTTAAGAGTATAGCAGTCTTTTGATATAATACAGCAAAACATGTAATAAGATTTTTTTTTCGGTTTTGAAATGTGGGAACCTATTTAAATAAATGATAAATAAATTGCACTCTGCTTTACGATCTTGGTTTACATGGGATTCCAGAGTTATATTCAGTCTTGTTTCAGTGTTTCCGATTTGAAAAATATTATTAAAAGCATGCAATGCTTTTTAAAAGTTGAAATTCTTATATAAGATGAAAATAATGTACATTTCTAGATGAAGACCAAGATGCTGTTGTCATTTTTTTGCCAGCATTGTTACGTTGAGTCTTTGATTTCTTGCTACGTAGAGGCACAGAATCTGAAACCTGAGAAGTGGGAAGGTCTCCTTTGCAATCCTCAAATCTCTTAAGGGAACCTAACAATGTTTTCAGTCTGGAAACAATTGTGAATTAACAGTTTCTGTTGTACGTAACACTGCTAATTTACCACATTTGCTATTTCTCAGGTCTTATTCATGTTGGTGATGAACTTAGGGAAGTGAATGGGATACCAGTTGAGGATAAAAGGCCTGAAGAAGTAATTCAGATTTTGGTAAGCTGACAATTTATTTTCAAATTGCAATGAAAATGAAATTGAATCACTATATCTCAGACTTAGTGATGACTACAGGATTTGGATTTCGCCGTCCAGAGTTCAAATCCGAACTCCATTGCAGGATCTCTATATGTCCTTGGAAAATACCTTCATCTTTTTATTGCCTTAGTGTTTTCATTTACAAAATGAGAATAATAAGAGGTAAATATCTCACTGGAGTGTTTGGAGAATTAAGTGAGCTCATGTATGTAAAGAGGTTATGGCAAGGTCTGTCCCAAATTAAATACTTAATAGATGGCATCCACGCTGTTGTTGGTGATGCATTTATCTTTCTCTTTCCAGTGACATAGCCAGTCTGTAGGCTTTGCTTTCTAGGTATATAAAATAGTGAAATTAATTTAGATGTCTTTTGAAAGCTAAAATAGAATGAAATTAGTTTTTTCCTTGACAATGTTAATTCTTTGGTTCATTTGTAAGGATAAATTGAAGAGACTGTCCCTGTGACAAATGAAAACATACTATACAGAAATGAAAAGGGAGTTTAGTATCTCAAAACAGATCTCAGTATGTATCAAAATTTGTATATGGTTAAGATGGCATTTTAAAACAGTGGGAAAACAAGTCATTTCATAAATCCTATTGGATTAATTGATGATTCACTTAGAAAAAAAGTCACTTCCTGTTTTACACTACACGGAAAAATAAATCCCAACTAATTTAATATTTAAGTTTAAAAAAAATCACAGAAAATAAAGCAAGACTTTTTAACTTTGATGTAAAATTCAAATAGAAAAATAACTAGAATTGAAAACTTTCTATATGGAAAAAGATGCTGTACATAAAATAAAATACAAATGAGATTGTAGGAAAAATATTTTCAATATATGATAGAAAGCTATATTTTAATGTATAGAGAATTCATAAAAATCAATAAGAATATTTACAGGAAAATTGGCAAAGCATATGCACAGACAGTTAACAAGAGTAAACATGATGACTGAAAAATATTGGAATGGTGGGGATTTAAAAGCTTGATAATGCCTAGGGTTAGTCAGATTACAGGGAAATAGATATGGTTATATGCTTTTGGTAGTAGGATAAATTAATAGAACTTTTTGAGATAGCTGTCTGAAACTATCAAAATTTTAAATTTGCAAACCCCTTAATCAAGAAATTCAATTGTTGGGGGCCAGCCCAGTGGCATAGCCCTTAAGTTGTGTGCTCTGCTTTGGTGGTCCAGGGTTTGCCTGTTCAGATCCTGGGCACAGATCTATGCACTGGTTATCAAGCCATGCTGTGGCAGGCGTCCCACATAAGAAATAGAGGAGGATGGGCACACATGTTAGTTCAGGGCCACTCTTCCTCAAAAAAAAAAAAAAAGAAAGAAAAGAAATTCAATTGTTGGAAATTAACCCTAAGGAAATAATTTGGCAAATTTGTATAAACAAGATGTTTTAAAAATATTTAGAAACTATCAAGAAGGTTGCATTGATTCAGTAATCATTCATCCACATGATGGATTGCTGTGACACAATCACAATGGCTGATAGACCTATATGACTTAATAAGAACAGTAAGACAGTCATGCGTCACTTGCAGTGGGATACGTTCTGAGAACTGTGTCGTGCGAACATCATAGAGTGACTTACACAAACTTAGATGGTATAGCCGACTACACACTTAGGCTATACGGTACTAATCTTATGGGACCACCACCATATATGCGGTCCGTCGTTGACCTAAATGTCTTTTTATGTGGTGCAACTATACTAATAATTGCTTACAGAGCCCTTAATGATACTGTTCTGAGGGCTTTACGTACATTAAAACACACACACAAACTAGAAGAATGGACAGGGGTTATAGAGAAGACTTTTACCATCTCTCTGCCTATGCACTTCAGTATTACATGAATTCTCAATAAGAGTTATGAGTTACTTGAGTCTCTGTGCGGTGCTGGAGCTGCCTCCTTATACTTTCAAGAGCTGATCCTATGCAACTCTTCCCAACCTGGCTTCCAGTGACCTCACACTGGCAAATTGAAACTGGCTGTGATGGGAGTATGTATACCATGGAAACTGGCAAATGATACAAATCCAGGGCTTTTATACAAACTGCAGTCCTGGTTTACCAGCACACCCCTGGTAGTGAGCCTCAGAGAGATCGACCCATTCTTCTCTCTCCCTCTCTTTGCCTCACTCTCTCCTTCTCCCTTTCCTCTCCCTTTCTCCCTTTCCCCCACAATCCCCCGCATTCCTCTTAAACGTGTGCCAGATATTTAGTGCTTTCATAGAACTTATTCACTGTAGTTTGGCAGAGGTAACATATTAAGAAATAATTGTTACGTAACTATTTAGATATGGTTATGATAAATGCTGAAAATGGAGATGACATGAGAGTGTCTTAAAGGGACGCCTGCTCTTGTCTGAGATAGCAAAGAATTGTGGGTATTGTCATTGCTTGTTTTAATTAAATTAGAATTGATGCTCCATCTTTTCATTAATCTATTACATTTGGTATTTTTCTCACTAACCAGAATATAATAGAGATTAATGTTCCTCATTAATTTTTCTGATAAACATTGCAACTAATTGAATCATGCATCTATAAGTACATTACTGATAGTATAGATATTTCATTCCTAAAAACATGCATGCTGATACTTAACTGTCTGAAGCTTGCATATTATCTGATCTATCCATTTAATGTTGTCTGTATAAGGCACTGTGCATATTCCGTGTTTCTATTTTGAAGTAACTCAACGTGGATGGTAATATATTCATTGGCATTTTCGAAGTGCACAGGAGGTAAAAGTGGATTTAGTGATTAATGTTTTTTAACTTATTTGACAAACTTTAGTGCTTTCTCACATTACAGGAATTTCTACAAAAATAGTTTCCTCAGTTTAGTTTATCTAAGAGTGGAAACCTCAAGCTTGTAAATTTTCAGAATCATTTCGTTTTCTACCTATTTTGCCTTCTTTCTCCTTGGCTCTAGAAGTTTTCTTATAACTCTTTCTTTCCTCTGATATCAGGCTCAGTCCCTGGGAGCAATTACATTTAAGATTATACCTAGCATCAAGGAGGAGACACCATCGAAAGAAGGCAAGGTAATGATTACTTAAAAACCTTTTCTGTGGGAGGTACTAATGTTTTTCCATCTGCTATGCATCCTCTTTGTCACAAGAAGTTTCTTATTTTTAAAAAATTCTTCTTAAATCAGAGTTAGAAAAATGTTAGCCATTTCACATTTATTTTTTGTATTTATTCATTTTAAATGAAACTTTCTTCCAGATGTTTATCAAAGCCCTCTTTGACTATGACCCTAATGAGGATAAAGCCATTCCATGTAAGGAAGCTGGGCTTGCTTTCAAAAAGGGAGATATTCTTCAGATTATGAGCCAAGATGATGCAACGTGGTGGCAAGCGAAGCATGAAGGCGATGCCAATCCCAGAGCAGGCTTGATCCCTTCAAAGCATTTCCAGGAAAGGTGAGCTACTGGCGCATCTTAATGGCCTTTCTTCAACTGACCTTTTGTTCTCTGCAAAATATCAGTCCAGCATATCTGTGATAAAATAAGAACTAAAACCTTGCCTTAGAATCCTTTATCCCTCAGGTTTGGATTTCTGTTTTGTCTAACTAAATATGAATAATGACCAAAAATAATATGACAGTCCCAGGTCAAATTTGGTTTTTGTTATGAAGCAAGTGGAAAATAGCACATTAATATCTGAAACTGCATTGATGTGAAAGATGGAAAAAAAAGAAGGGTGATTTTGAAGTGGGGATAATTTATAGGAATTTGAAAGTAGACGATTTATTTCTTCATTTGAATAGATTACATTGTGTTCATTTTCCCCCTAACTTTCCATTTTTGTTTTAAGACATTTACTGTTTTGGTGTTATATTAATCTTGGACGTGTACTGAAAATTGACAGTCATATTGACCTTCTTTTCCCCCAGGAGATTGGCTCTGAGACGACCAGAAATATTGGTTCAGCCCCTAAAAGTTTCCAACAGGAAATCATGTAAGTTTGTTCATAAGAATGCAGAGTAACCAAACCTTGCTGCTTATTTTTGACTATTAAAGCAGGTGTTTGTGGTAGAACGAGAGGTCGTTACCTTGTGATCGCTTTTGAATCATTATTTCACAGGAACCAAACAAATAAGAAATTCATAGTAGGAATATTACTGTGAATCTTTTGAAGAAAGGCGTGTTGGGGTTGTTTATAAGAAACCCATGACTCGTTAAGAAAATAACTAATAACTACTACTCTCTTTAATTTCTAAATTTAGGTATTTTATAAATGTAACCTAAAATGCAACTCTTATTTCCCAACAGCCAGGAGGTTTGGGTAAGATATTTCTTGGTAAAGATTAGGGGGCGAAAAATTCACCACTTTCTTGGGCACAAAAGCAATTTTGCCCAAGAATAGTTGCTCTTATTTTTCTTACTTCCTTTCTTATCCAGAAATCATAGTAACTCTGACCTTTACCCCGTCTGTTTGTAGTTATTACCAGACTAGAGTAAAAGAAAATGAGTCAGAAATAGGATGACGTAGGCTTACTGAAAAAGATAGTGTGGATTTAGGTGCTTTTTTTTTTCAACCTACCCTTCTCTCAGCTTTTCTTTTCTTCCCACCTCCTACCTCTCTCAAGTCCCCATCCCCAAAATTTCCTGCTTCATCTCCTCTAAATGTTTCATGGGTCTAGGTATTTTAAGAGAAAAAAAAAAGTGCCCTTTGTTTTCAGCATAGAAATCGTACATTAAAAGGCGAAATGAGCAAATAAATGGTCCTGGAATTTTACACCAACATCTGTTTTTAGTATTGTTGCATTTTTCACATCTCCTGTTATTTCTGTCAGTTTGTAGAAGCTTATAGCCCAGGAATTACCTTATAAGAGAGCCAAACTGCAGTCGGGCATAAATCTGCCAAGCAAGCAGATACTCAGGGGGAGCACTGATTCAAAAGCCTGCGTGCTCTTGCTCCATTCAGTCTGAGCAGAAGGAAAAAACACTTGTTGTAGAATGCCACATATATTGTGACATTGGAAAGCTTAAAGTTTAACCAGACCATTGCATTGTTTTTGAGTGTGATGAATTTTCCCTGGCCACTCATCCTGCTGAAAGGAACTTCGAGGCATCCACCTGACTTGTTCTTTAAGGGATTTTTAAATTTGGGGCCTGCATATTTCTGATGTTTGGTGCATGTGGGATAAAATGTGTGTAACCTGACAATGAAATAAATGTGATTCTACTTGAATTTGAACCCGTACTCAAATTTGTTTGAGTCTTAGGCAACTAAGAAATGTATAATTTGATATAATTATGAATTTTCATTTATTTAAAAATTTTGATAAATTGATGTGTTTCTTTAAAGAACTATAGAAAGTGCATAAATTGTCTTTTTCATAGCTCTCCCCAAACTGGTTTCAGTATAAATGTGTGTGAATGTGGGGGTAGGGGGAGGTGTGTAGAAGTCTTAATTGTAAGGGAGGCTTTTTGTCTGTTAATTTGCACTGTCTCTTTTATATATTAATACTTCAGTATTTGAATCTGAGAAATATTTGTTCCAAGATTTATCTTTACTGAAATGTCCTCATTTGGATGTTTTAGTATTTCTTTTTTTCTTTCTTTTTCTGCCTCTTGAACACCATTTAGAAATATTTACTGATTTTACTTCTTTCACCCTTTCTTTCTTCCTTCCTTTTTTCCTTTTCTGTCTCTTGTTTTTTCACTAGATTTTGATTCACTGAGAGATGTATTGTTTGTTCTCATATATAGCTATTCATTATTTTTAAATAAAGATAAGCCTGGTCAAAATTATCCAAATTAAAATCACTAATGTATAGTAGCTATGGCCTTATTCAGAGAGAGAGTACATTTCTATGAAAATTAAAATTTCATAGAAATTTTCATAATTAATGAAAATGAGTGTCTTTATTCTCTAAGAATTGAAATTCCATTTGAAAGTTCTTTGAATTTCTCATAAACCCCTGAACCCCAAAATTATGTAAAAATCTTTGTCCTGGTTCTAAACATTTTTAAAGGCACTTAAAAGCACTTGGGTGTGTTTGATAGTGGTTCTTTACATAGCTGAATCTTAGGAAGCCTGTCTGACTTAGTACTTCCTGGACTTCAGCATTCGGTGCTTAGATTCTTAGAATAAGGCATTCATGTTATCTTGCTCTCTGCTAAATTATTGAATAATTCGATGAAAAAAATCAAGTTGATATAAAAGCTTTTATTTTTATGACTTTGAATAATAATTCGTAGAATAGATTTTAAGAAAAATTTCTGATTTAATGTAAAATTTCTAAAAGAAGAAAAATTGGTGTTTATAAATTTATGAAAAAAATACTCATGTTGATAAAAATTTCTGCACTAAATTTTACTGCACTTAAAACCTAGGAAGATATTGTTGAGCACTGATTTTAGAATAATGACTAGTCAGGTAACAATATATATCAAATTAGCCAGTTAACCTTTTTCACAAAGTGATTGCTTGTATTACTATGATTTTACTCTTTATTTGATTCTCGGTGTACATCATAACTAAAGTTTGCATGAAGGAAAAGTTCATGGAAGATGGCTCTGAAACTATAGGGGTTCAGCTAATGTCAGCAGAGAAGTCAGAAAGGAAGAGAGAAGCCCAGTGCTGTTATCTTTGCATTTATATTTGTGCTAGAGCCCTGGCTCCTGGCTCCACGGTCAATCAGGAGCCGTGATAACACCGACCTCTTCAGGCTTAAAAGCTAGCATCCTTATGCAAAACTCTCAGTGTGGGTGGTATTCATCTTTGATGCTTGGTTATTTCCTCCCCTTAAGAATCTTGGTGTATCTAATACATATCCAGAAAATAGGCTTCTCAAACAAAATAATTTGCCTCTTAAAATTAAACATTCCTAAAAACTAAAATATGAACTCTTAAAGCTAAAACATCCCTAAATCTTAGAAGCTTGATATAAAGATTCATCTCTTCCTCTTCTTCTTCATTCTTTTTTGGAAGAATAGCTTATCCAACAAAGAAATTTATGGATAATAGAATTTTGTGTTCCCTCACCGCCCCCCCATCTAATGATAGGTTCTCACCTAATGGATTTGTATTAGTAATACAGAAAGAAGAGCAGACCTAGAAGTCTGATAGGTTTTCTTTGATATGACCAACTTTTAGATTATTACATGAAAGACACAGGTTAAGTGTTTTGGAAATGAATGAGTGTATCTTATGTCTCAAGTAGCATATAGGTGTAGTTTTCATGACAGACACTTGGCAGCTTGCAATTCTTGTGTCAATATAGTTTAAAGTACTCTGATTTTCTACCAAAAGCTTATTTTTTATAATTCATTTGCATATATAAAGCAGCATAATGTCACCTAGCCTTGAGAAAGAAATAGGAATTTCTTTGACTACTTGAAATATTGTTTGTTCCCTTTCTATTGAAATCAAAGTATATGTTAAAAATTGTCTTCCTAATAGTGTAGACATTAATTAACTTTAACTTTGATAGGATGTAATTTGTATTTAAATTCAGGCTACATGGTATTCAGAAAAGACTGTTATTCATATAGAGTATTTTACAGCAGAATAGTCAAGTATAATATTTATTCACAGTGCTTAGTTTCCTATTTTAGTTATCGAAGTATAAATACCTGAAAACTTCTATTACTGCTGATGAAATAATGTCAATATAAAGGTTTCTTTTATGGGGCCTGCCTGGTGGCGCAGCAGTTAAGTTCGCAGTTTCCACTTCAGTGGCCCGGGGTTCGCTGGTTCGGATCCCAGGTGTGGACATGGCACCACCTGGCAAGCCATGCTGTGGTAGGCGTCCCACATATAAAGTAGAGGAAGATGGGCATGGATGTTAGCTCAGGGCCAGTCTTCCTCAAAAAAAAAAAAAAAAAAGAATAAAGGTTTCCTTTACAAAATAGCTCTTAGAGAATTCTTATAATAAAAAATGCAAAACTGTATAATTTATTGACCTTTTAAAGATTAGAAGATAAAAACACAAAATATTTTATTTTAGAGTTTGTTTTAACCAATTGTGATTGTTATCATGTGGGTAAAAGAGAAAAAATTTAACTTCAGCCGAAGAGTGTCCATTCAAACAGGGTGTAACCAAGTTCATTTTCAAAGATAACCATTTTGTGGGTTGAAGATCACAATCTACCAACAACAGAGTTTAAACATTGAGTCAGTGAATGAATTCACTCTACGTGGTACCGATAATTTGGAAGGCCAAACATTTGAGAGTAATGTCTGTAACCTTACTCTTCGGGTTGTTGTAATGCAAGTTTTCAAAGTGACTAAGCTCCTTCCTCCTGGCATCTTAAATAATGTTTACTTAGTGTGTTCACACTTAAAGTTAATTCAGAAATCAACAGATCGCTTGTGTTCTTACTTTAAATTTGTATGTCTAAAACTTTGTCAGACATTTTCTTTATATTGGTGGGATTTTGTGTAAACCAGATCAACGTGGGGTTTTAAGAAATACTGAAAGTATTGTTTTTTCCCTGATACTTACTGCTGCTCTTTGGGAGGTGCTGGAGTTCAGAGTTTGTGTGGAAAGAGGCACAGATGAGCTAGGCTGTAAACTGTGCATCTGATTGTTTTCGTCCTGATGCGGTTGAGGTGAGGGTCTTTCTAACTGTTACAGCTCACCTTTTGTCTCGGTGAACCATGTTCTCCTTACATACGTGAAGATGTTGCTTCTAAAACACTATCAGGGTATGTGCTTTTAGCTTTCCCATAGGAAGGGTTCTGAGCCATAATGTCTCTTGCCTTTTGTCCTGGGGACCCAATGCTATCAGGTAAGAAAAAGTTGATTAACAGTTAAGAATCTGGTCCGTGTCATGGTTTATTGCAGACTTGGGGAGATTGCAGTGGGGGCAGAGCGGGTACAAGAGAGCGGTGTCTAGGGTGGAGGTTTAACTTTGCCCCTGTGAATAATAGCACATCTATATAGTCACAGTTTCTCCACTTGTCAAGAGTATCAGACGTGTCCCAGTCAGAGTAACATCCAGCAGCATGGGAAGGTTCCGCCTGCCCTTTGTGCAGAGCTCATCAAATGGTCTTCACAAGACCCTTTCTACTCCGTCCTCTGAAGACAGTCAAGTTACTCTTGGTGACCTCGTTGGCCTCTTCTCTGTGAGTTTTATCATCTTCCCATCCTGCCGTTCCGTGCTTACAGATGAGAGAGTGGACTCTGATGAGGTTGGAAGAGCAGATGGCTCTCCCTCTGCTCTGCTGTTGGGAGAAGCACTTGAGAGCAGCAAGAGGCTGGTGTGGTGGGAGTAGACAGGAAGCCTGAAAGAAACTTGCCATTTCCCTTGACTTCTTCCCCAACTTGTATTTTCTAGCTTAAGGTTCGAGTAATTAAAAAGTGATTTTGGTGTGATAGTATAGCATGGTAGTTAAAAACTCGGACTCTGGGAGCCAGACCACATGGGTCTAAATCTCGGTTTTGCCACTTAGGAGTGCTTCATTTCTCTGTACTTCTGATTTCCCGTCTGTAAAATGGAGATAATAGTACTGGCTTCATAGAGTTGTTGGAGAATTAAATGTCTGTGCATTTCATCTGCATAAACAATGCCTTACCATAGTAAGAATCATGCAATTATCTCAGCTCTCGTCTGAGGTAAACTTTTCATGTAGTTTTCCTCTTTATTCAAACTTGCCAAATCTGAGGAAATGTATCCCTTTGCTTTTCCTGCTGGAGAAGCGTGATTCTATTCAGCATGATTCTTGCTATTGGACATGTATGTGTGTGTTATATCATGCTAAAAATACCATTCTCTTCTTACTTAAGAATTGCATGGAGGAGATATTCTTTTGAGAATTTATGCTGCATATTCATGGCCTTTTATTAGAATATGAAGTACACATATACCATATGTAATTTAAATTACAGATGTTTATTTTTATTTTGGGTTGGCTTTGGTGTTTTAGTTATTTTGTGCATGGGGCATGGTTTTTCTATCACCTGATTTACACGACATTGAGTCTTTAATCAAGAGTGCAGTGCTCTGTCTATCCCATTGTTCCCCTCAGAAAGTTCACTCTCAGATGTTTAACAATCTGCTTTATGGCAGAGTGGCTGAGATTGCAGATGGATCAGCCTTAAACATTGCTCCTGTAACTTCCACCATGCCTAGATGCTCGCCTTGGCTAACCCATATCACATAATTTATTGTTTGTTTTCTAATAATTTGTTTTAGATGCACATGGCATTTCAGAGCTACTAAGAAATGAGTATAAACTCACAAGTTGGATATCTCATAATATGAGCTGGAATAATAATGATTTGCTTGTCATTTTTGCTAATACTGTTCAAATATAACCAATACAGTTGGAGAACCCATAGGTATTTGAAAAGTAAAAATACAGCAGTCCACACTTTCTCCTAAGTGTTTTCTTTGACTGCCTGCTATTCTGTAGTTTGATGGGATAAGCGAGCAAGAACCCTTCTGATCAGTCCTATTCGCTCTAAGAGGTCGTGTAGTGAAATACGTTCTACCCTCACTCCGGTTAGATTTTGCTTCTGTTAAATTGCCAGTTCTTTTTCCGCCCTTAACTGAAGATGAGTCTCCCAGATCATAGTTAACTCTGAAATCGCTCACCTGTTAGTAACTTAAAAATTGTTTAGGATTACTTTTTAAAATACCTTTCATCAAATATTATAGACAGAATGAAAATAAAAGGTTCTGCCTGACCCCCTCATTTTGTATGTATAAAAGTGGGTATTTGTCAGGATATTGTTAAATTTACAGGATATTTAGACATTTAAGGGCCGCATTGGTGGTTTCTAAAATGTTTTTTTCTTTTCACTGTTTTTATCATGAAATATCCTAGGTGTTGAACAGACAGATTAATTTAAAAACAGAACTGTTCTGTGAAAATAAATATAATCCCATTATTATAGGTATTATTTTGAAAAATACAAATTTTTTTGGTTCTTTTTTCTCATTTACATATTTAATAAGCTGTATGAAGACTTTGTGTTTTTACTGCTTAAGTGTATACATTCTTTTTAGACCAAGACTATTGTGCAGTCTGTAATGGAGTTTTTTATAAGTTCTATGTACTTCTTGACTAATAATTTTGAATATTTAAAATACATTTGTTTTTTTCCTTTGGCTTTTCTAAGATGAGGAAACAGTTGAGTGTGGTAGGTGGATTTTTTTTCCCTTGGATGCAACATCTTCCTACTTTATTTGTATTTTCTGCACATTTAATCATTTCCTTTCTCGTTTTCTTTGTGCTTCTCAGAGGAAATTAAAGGTACTTGTATAAAAGTTTCCCTGCATAGTCTAGTAATTTTATTTAGTGCACATATGTGTAGGATTAAATTGAATATAGCAAGCAGTTTATAAAAGGTTATCATGCATCCAAACTTCCACCTTGACATTACGGTACCAAAAATCGTGGTTGGACTTGGTTTTAGAAAGAGAGGTACTTTTTGCTTCATTTAGCAGAAATACAGAAAGTAATCTGAAATAGTACACTGTTTTTATCTCTGTCAGTAGTCTTAAATAAAGGTAAATGAAGAAAGCAACGTTATTCAGACACACTGACAGACTTACTTTAACTAAGGATGTGAGAGAATCTTTGCTGTTGATTTCTGCACAGGCTGTGCTGTTAGTTCCAGAGGTGTATTTATGTGAAGATTAGAGGCCTAACATAATAAATACTCCACTACCTAAATTTAAGTATTTAAGATATGTAGAACCCAGTATTCATTTAATTCCTAGAAATAATTAATAGCACCTTGTTCATTTTAAAATGTTTTCATCTGTTCATTTTTAAACAACAAAATAAAAATGGAAATATTTTGCCATATTCCTTCCCAGCACAGAATCTCTTCCTATCAAAAGAAAGGATGTATCTTAATCTTAACCTTTCTGTCTAATCCAGTGAGCCAAAATAAGTGCTGTATTTTAACTATTATCAAAGAGCCTAATTTATAAAAATAAATTTACTTTGGGGATCTAGTGTTGTAATTTTCTAAACTGTGAAAGTATGAACAACTCAGGCAAGCCTTTTATAATTTTTTTGGAACTGCATCAAGAAACCTCCGAAGGAGTGTGTAAAAAGAATTGCATGATGTTTCAAAATATCACTTTATACTTAAATATAAAACAAAATGTTTTATGTTTAAGAGTGGCATCGTGAGGGCTGTTTATGTTGTGCTTTACCTAATTGTTTTAAGTAATTTATTTTTGCATCTGTGGCTGGGCTTCTAACTGTTCTGCTTTATTTCTTGGCTTTTGTTCTGTATGCTTTTACACTCCATCCAGAAGATGCTGAATATGCTGGTAACAACAGTGGAACCTATCTAGGTGAGCACTTGGTCATGGAAGCGGATTTCTTTCCTTTTTTTCGCTTTCTTCAAAACCATTATATTGTTTTATCTTAAATTAGAATATTTGCATTAGCATGCTCTAATATTCAGTGGAGGGGGGTAGCATGAATCTTCATGTTAAACAGGCTCAGTGGGTTGGACACAAAGAAATGAAGCTTTCCTGATGCTGTATTTTTGTAAACAATTATATATTTTTAATAGAGTATGAAAAAGCATCTATTTGTGCTAAGTAACGTTACTCCAATAACAGTATTAGAGTAAAATTTTCTAAATTATCTGATTAGCTGTGAATTCTTCAAGGCTTCTAAATCATTTCTTTCTTCCTAAATAACTTTTTGGTTATGTTTTCCAGTGATTTATTATTCCTTAACACCCCCCTAAATAACCAGTGACTCAACAGCCCCATTGACCGAAAAGCCCCAAATATAATTAAGCTTTATGATTAACTTGCTAATCTGTATTGGAAGGAAAAGTTTCCAATTTGGAGATGCCAAGGGATGTTATAAACAGAAGCCAAGATATCCAGAAATCGCTAAAGGCATCAGAATTATCTTCATCTACATTTCACGTTAAACCTTTCCCACCTTTGCCAGTATTGGCACACTGACAAGTTCTCTGCTTTCCATGGTGAGAGGTAATAGTGTAGAAACACAGTTTTAGAGGTCCCTGCTTCAACCTCCTTATTTTCAGATTTATATTTATGTTTATGATAATACCTTTTGGTTATTGAAGAAATGTGCCAGATATTTTATTTGATATTTAATATATATTATCTCTAAAACTGAGAGATGGGTGGTATTTTATCGACTTTACAAAAAGGAAACTGAGGCTCAGAAAGTTTACAGGATTAACCTGAGGACCTAAAGACTGTAAATGGGCGTCCTGGTTTCAGATCCACATCCGTGTAGATACATCACCTGAACTCTACCTTTACCATATGCTGACCTCTAGTTTTTTATTCTACATAACAAACAAGAAACTGTACAGAAATATAGAGTATTCCATTTTTTAGGCTAAAGAAACCCTAATTTACTTAAGAATTAGATGATCAGAGAGAGGTTAACATTTCAGTCATACTTTACACATTTCATAGCAGTACTGTGTGCCAGGTACTCTGTATATCAATTAGCACCTCTCCTTACCTCCTCAGAAACTGCAGTGGCTTAAGACAGCAAGCATTTATTATTCTCCTGGTTCTGTGGTCAGCTGGGCAGTTCTGGGCTATGTCAGCTTGACGAATCTTTACAGTCTGGGGGTTTGGCTGGGGTCTGGTTGGTCTGGGGGACTGGGGTGCTTAGCTGGGCAAAGTTGTCTTTGTTTCGCATAGCTTTTCACCCACCAGTGAGCTAGCCCATATAGTGGTCTCAGGGTTTCGGAGGGCAACACAGGAAAGCAATCTCCAATGTGTAAGTGCTGTTGAAGTCTTTGCTCATATCACTTCTGCTCATGACCCATTGGCCAAAACAAGTTTCATGGCCAGGCTGAAGTCAGTGTGGGAGGAGACTACCTGAGAGCTTGGAGACAGGGAGATGTGAAAAGATGGGCGGCCATTGCTGTAAGCTTCTACCTCTGTCAAAAACAGAGCGGTACCTATTCTCCCTGACCTTAAGGGCTTATACTTGGTCCATTAGATGGTGAGTGTATATCCAGCCAGGGAATAACTGTGGGAGTATCTGATGAGTGTCACATAGGATGCTGTAATTCAGAAGGGAGGATGATCACCTCAGCCTGAGGCAGTGAGGGGCTCCGTCCCACCAGAGATACATCAGAACAGGCACCAAGGGTTAGGTGGGACTACTAGGGAGGATGAAGGTAGAAGCAACAGCATGGAGAGAGGTGACTGTTGCAGAACACAAAGCACTTTTAAGTTTGGGTGATATGTGAATGACAGGGCTGGAAATTTAGTGTGACATTTGATAACGTGAGATCTTCAATGTCAGGCTAAGTAATTTACGTATTTATTAAAGTTTTGCCTGATTTTTGTACTCACATTGTTCTTTGGATAAAGTTTTATCCAAAGAACAAAATATGAGTTTTTAATCTGTGTCTCTTATAGCATATAGGAGTTTTGTAAAATTAATATTTAATCAGTAGGTAGAAATCGAAGTCCAGAAGCACAGGTGATCGGCAAGATGAGTTTCCTTAGAGAGCTCAAAGAAAATGAATTCTGATAAATGCCTTTGGATCTGGCAACTTGAAGTCACTGACAACATCTTAGAAACAACTTTACTGGAAGCCAAATTGCAAGGTATCAAGCAGTAACAAAGTTGACAGTGAAGGAAAGATAGCAATTGAGTTAAAGGCGATTTTTATAGTTGAGGGTAGGAGTGTTTTAGTGTGAGAGGATAGTAGGATCAGTTACGTAGACAGAAGTGATGGAATTGATGGTAAAGGACTGAATATCTGAGATAGGGAGTAATTGGTTGAACAAAGGCCCAAAGCAGGCCAAACTGGATGGAATTAAGACCACAGGAGTGCTTTAGAGAAGAGAGATTGGCATTAACGGGTGAAGTTATACATGCAGATACTCCACGAGCCACTACAGTTATTTCTTTGGAAAAGTCAGAGGGTGCTTCCAAGAGACCACTCTCCATCACCCAGTTACAGATGCAAATAGGGCACATGGGAATATCATGAATCATATAATAATTCATGTCAGATGGGTGGCTCACAGACACTCGAGGCTGTGTTTAGACAAAAGATAGATTTTTGTTAGACCCACATATTTGAGAAATTTCATGTAAAAATTTCTGACTCCTTTGACAAAAGATTTGACCAAACTAGGCCTTCATTTCCTTAGGGTAATAGCTGGAGCTGAGTTACAACTCACTCCTTAAATGGAACACAAGCTCCCGAGTTGAACACATTCTCCCCCGCACCGTCCCCCATTGCCTTGCCAGAGCTGGGACCAGTGTCAGTAGACTTTCTCCTAACAGTTGTGTTGGTGCTTGTATTATAATAGTGAAGTATTTCTTTGTATCCATGTCCTCAAATGTGGGGAAATCAAAGTGACCAGAGGATTTAAAGAAAAATAGGACAGCCTGTTTCTTTGAGGACTGAATGTTGTGCAGAGTATGTTGGTGTTGACAGAAGGCAATTTAAGACTTTTCTACCTATCTGGCTTCTGTAGGTTTTTGAATTTACAAGCCCTGATTATAGAGTATAGTTCTCTGCTCCGTTCGACTCCTCATCTTAGAAATGATAGTTTTACTTTCCGTACCTGGCAAAGGGGGAAATGTGGCCAATGTGTTTTAATATATGCACATATCATGACATCATTTCTTTTTGGTCTAAATGCTTGTTCTGACACATGTGCAGCAAGAGACCATCACAGATTCATGCACCTAGAAGTTCGTTTAGGTATAACTGAGATAAAGGAATCTAGCAAGGTACCTGAGAAGAAAAGCATACAATAAAGCCTGTGTTTAAAAAAAGGATATGTCATAATAGGAGGCATAAATTACTAGTGTTTCTGATCACAGTTTCTTCTTTTAAGGAAATGCTTCAACTGATGACCACTGATTTGAAATTGTTTCTTTTGCTGGATAAACAAGTTCAATTGGAGTCTCTGGTTATTTTTTATATTATGAAAGAGTTACTTTGTTACAAATACATTGAGCAAATTGACTGTTTTGTGGAATTCGTTTTTCCCCAAAAAGCCAAATTTTCAAAATGCCTGCAGATCCTATGCATTTTTAAAGGAGATCTCATATGCTGACATAAATGGCAAAATTGTTTTTTGGTAAAAATATTATTTGGTAAACACCTTAAAGTATAGTGTGACTTTCTTATTAGTTTTTCTTCTTTTTTTCCTTGATAATCATGTAATGCCTATTTTTTTTTAATACCAAGTTCTTTATCGGTCTCCTGTTAATTTGATGAGCTCTTTTCTGTGTCATGAATATTTATCCTCTCTCTGTTGTGCACATTTTCTTCTGCTCTTTTGATTGAATTTTACTTTTTTCTATGCCAGGTTTTACAGCATATAGATATTTTAAGTTTTACATAAGCAGATCTGTGAATTGTTTCCTTTCTAGCTTCTGAATTTTCCTTTGTATTCCCCACACCAAGATTATTAAAAATTTTTAAATTTATATTTTTATCGAAGTAATATATGCATTAGGTTGAAGCATGTGAAATTGCTGTTTTTGTAGGTCAAAAAACAATAGAATGTCAGCAATTTCCTATGGCTCTGTTTAATAAATTGGTTGGAAAGTCAAATACTATTGCAAGTCTTGCAACCAAAAACAGGAGTCCTTCTCACTTTTCCTCCCTAGTCCCATGTCCTCCCTCAAGAGAACCACTTTAGCTGTGGGTAGCACTTTCTTCTGGTATTTACAGACTATAACTTTCTTATAATGCTATTTCTGGATTTTTTTTCTGATATTTATTGAGTGCCTATTATGTTCTAGACTGTTCTGGGCACTCAAGTTTCAACAGAGATCAAAACAAATACCCTTTCGTAGAGTTTCCATGTCAACAGTAGGTGTGGAGACCGATAACTAAATAAATTATATTAGATGGTAGTAAGTGCTATGAAGAAAAGTAAAGCAGGAATGGGAGATGGCGGAGTGGGAACATGGGGCTTCAGATTTCAATAGGGTGATCTAGGAAGGCCTCCCCCAGGTCATATTTGAGCAAAAACCTGAAGGGAGCCGTGTGGGGAATAAGCATTCCAAGCAGTGGGACAAGCATGTGCAAAGGCCCTGAGATAGGGCTCTGATGCATCTGAGCATCAATAAGGAGACCAGTGTGGCTGGAGCAGAGTCAAGAAGGGAGAAAGTGATAGAAATTGAGGTTGGCCAGTTAACAGAATGGTTCTGTGAGGAGGACTGAGGGAGATTCTTTGGCTCTTATTTTGTGTGAGATGGGAAATCATTGAAGAGTTTTGAGCAGAGCAATGATATAACATGACTTATATATTTAAGGATCATTCTGGCTGATCTGTTGAAAATGGATTATTAGAGAGCAAGATCA